ATGCACCAAGAGCTTGTAACACTCCAAAGAGAAAGGAAAAATTGAAATCGCATCATATGACCCCTTTAACCAAAAAAAGTCATGGACTGCAGCTTTAACAACACTGATCCATCTGCAACAGCTTTCCTCAAAGTTGCCAGAATGTCCCTGTGAGAAGTTTCCCCACCACTAGAGGGAGGCATTAGGCAATCTGAAAGGTCTCGAGCACTATGGTTTGTGATATTTGGTCTTTAATCAAAGATATTTCTGTCCCTTACTATTCTGCCATGATTAGTGATGGTTAACTGACTCCTCCTCAGTCAGTCACGAGTGACCCTCTGCACTGACTCATCTCTTCTGATCATCTTTTGCATTCTTAATTCATGATGTAAATATATATATATTTTTTAAAACTCATGGAAACTACTTGATCTATAAATGTAGATGTACAAACTGAATCGCGAGGTATTTTAAATCCAGAAAAAATGCCTTTTATTAAATGCCTGTTGTTCTCCGCTCCGCCAGCGAGGGCGCTCAGACAGCGCGCACCATAGACATAATAAATACTTAGACGCCTCATTGGCCGCTCGACCGCATGTCAACGTCGCCGCCATATTGGTGCGGGCAACTCTCATATCAGGACAGGCGAAAACATACCTGACTCGTCGGCAGCTTGGGCATCTACAAACCTTAGCACAATAATAAAAACAGATCTCGGCGTATTATCTTTCACAGGTAAGACTGAACAGTTGTTTCTGTATGTTTTTGGTCATTTTTAGCTTTATGTTGACAGCTTAATTAGCCGCCAGTGTCAGACTATTAATAGCTAGCGATATCCTAGTAAGCTGTGAAAGCTAAGACTTTATATGAAATCAAAGTTTAAATTAATTCTTAAGTTTTAACTTTATATTGTAGTTTATATCATAGATTATCATAAATCTGTGGACTTATTATATATATATTTTTTTTTTCCTTTTTAGCCAATTGCAAACAGGACAACGCAAGCCTTAAGGAAAGCTGAAGAAAGCCTGTTCTCTGCATTAGTTAGTAGGCTATACTTCCACAGCCTAATGTTGTATTAGTACTAGTTAAAACCCAGAGTAGCCCTGAATGAATGGCCAGAATTACCCTGCTCATATTCTAACCACCCCCTTACTTGTTTCTTACTTTGTTTA